TGGTGCATCCACCCCAGCATCTCCCCCTCCTGCTGCCCCGGACCAGACCATTGGTCCATCCACCCCAGCATCTGCACCAGACCAGACCACTAGTCCATCAGCCCAGCACTCTGACTTCAGCCCTGGTCAACACCTGGTGCTTCCGAACGCTCCCGTAATGCACCTGTCTGACTGCTCAGATAATGCTGGGGGAGGGATTCATTCCTGATACCCCGTTAGGGTGAGCAGCTCACACCCTCCATCCCGAGCTCCGACCACCCTTTTGTTATAACCTGAAAACCTGCACAAACTGGCCTCAGTCGATCCGGCCCCATTCGAGAAAGCTCCAACTCGGGCGTTTGACCCCAGGAAACGAACCACTCTCCATTTGGATGGGGCAGGGGGGGTCACACCCCGATATTAAGGCGGGGGGAGGGGGGAACTGTTTGCCCACCCCAGGCGAATTTTCGAGATTTAAAACATTTTTCCATGCTGAAATTGGGGTCAAAGTTGAAATCTCGAAATATTTTGTGAACCGCAAATCCGAAAAAATGAATTGTTTGGGGTCCATCAAGACGCCTCATATTCCATTTCAGTTTCAACCCTTTGCTTCTTTTTTCCTTAGTACAAAGGAAGGGACATTTTGAACCGGAAAGTCGCGCTGAACTGAGACACCAAAACTTTTCCTTTCCAAAATGCTCACGATTCCTAAACTGCTTTTCAAGTCGGGACGTTTGCTGAAACCAAACCTTCCCCGCCAGCCATTTCAGTCTTGTTTTCGGCCGTCTCCGACAGACACGAAGACAGGACGACCAGGCAGAGACCAGCAATCTAAAGGCGGTTACATGCCTATTCTGTTAGCTGAAATATGCAGAGAGAGCTGTGTTTTAATGAGGGCTTTATGTAATCTGCTCAGGCGCTCTGTCTTGGACCTGCAGCTCTTACTGCGGGGACTTTAAAAAAAGCCCGACCAAGTTGTGCTCCACAGCGAGCGGAGGGGTTTTTCGTGGCTCTTTCAACCCCCGCACGTCTTAATGAATCCAGGCCGCGTGACGCTGAAAAATTGATGATGCTCTAATAAAGGGAAACTGATTAGCAGCACAAAAAAAGACACGGGCCTGCTCGCGGGCTCTTTGTAAGTGACGTCGGGCTTTGACAGCTGATTGTCAACCGGGAAGCTGAGCTGGGGAAGTTGCTTTTCTTTGTACGAAGCCACTTTGTGATTGAGTTCTAAAGCCCCATTACTGATTTATTAGGGCTTAATTTAAAAATAAAAATAAAAGAAGCAGCCGGCCTTGTTTGGAGTTAAGAACAAAAACCTTAAGAGAAGGAAACTGGGCCATCAAGAAAAGATCTTCGCTCCCAACCTTCCGCCGTTACACATGAAGCAGGCAGGATTGCGGGTAGGGTGGGTGGGAGCCGTCACAGGCCCCTTCCATCGCGAAAGTGACAGCGTATGGCTTTCTTCTCTGTTCGCCTCCAGATGCAGTCCCCGGAGTGCACTGTAAAAGTTCCGGGACCTGCGGCGGGCGGGGCGGGGGTTGGCGCACTGGCTGGAAAGACAATGCGTTTGTTTGCAGGTAGGATGGGATTTTTCTGACACGCCCGCAGAGCGGGAGCCCAGATGAATGTGTCGGAAAGGCCCCGTTGGTTTCAAATTGCCCCAGGGGAGGTTCTCTGCAGTTATGCAAATGCATAATGGGCCCCTAGAGGAGGGAGCGCAGGAGGAAGGGAAGAGCGGAAAAGGATGGAACAAGCTTGCTCGGTTTCTGTTTCTCCTCTTCGCACAGATCCAGGGCATCCCCGCCCCCAGCCAACTCGCTCGGGACCCTGGTTTGAGACCCTGGCCCCTGACCTCTGTGCTCTTGCTTACAGGCTGGTTTTGTCCTGGCGGTGAGAGCGCCAGTCTGGACAGTCATCCCGTCACCTCGCCCTGCCCTGGGTAGGGGGCACAATCAGGGCCCAGTGCTGAAAGGACGGGGTTGCTTGTTGTCTCTCCAGAAGCCCAGGCTATCCAACCCCCGCCCGTGCCGCTGACTGTACAGGCGTCCTGTCACAGGGCTTCAGAGCCCTCCCCTAGTGCACCTGGCTGACCGGGCGGCAGCGCCATGGGGTGGGCAAGGGGAGGAAGGATCCCTCCCTAACGGCCCCCACCGCCAGCATCTGCTAATCTCAGCCTGTGTCCGATTCTCCCTGCCCCGAGCGCGTCCCCACAGCTGTCAGTCCTGCCCAGCCCCCTCTGCGCAGCATCCCCGCTCGGCCCCTCTCAGAGCTGGGCTCCGGTGGTGCCGAGACCCGGCTGCTGGCCTGACGCCCGACCGGCGAAGTGCCCCAGCCGCCGAGGAGAGATGGGGCTGGGCTGGGCTCACTCTAACAGAGGCTGGTGGACACCGGCAGACCCTACGATTCCCTCTGGCTCTCTACCTCCCTGCACGGCCCGGCCTCACCCCCCGCGCGGTCTCCCAAAACCCTCGCCCGGCTTAACTGAGTCATGGAAGGGAGCGCGACCATCTCCTGTAGCCCCCGGCGCACGGAGCTAGGAAGATGCACATGTGGGGTAGCAGGCCAAGCTCCAAACAGCCCCGAATCCTTCAGACCCTGCCCAAACCCTCCCTCCCCCTCTCTTAAGCCCCCCACCCCTTTAACACGTCATCGCACGAGCCTTTCTAACTGCTCCCGGGCCCCGGCCCACCCGCCCCAGAACCCGAGCGACCGGGAGGAAATCTGCCGTTGCAGCTGCACATTCGGTAATCCAGCCGCATCCCCCTCGCGCCTTCCCTTTAATTTTCTCTCCCGGCGTTCGAATAAGAATTTCAATGCAAGAGAAGGGGGGAAAAAAATCAGCCCCAAATTCCATTCATGCACCATTTCGATTGCGGCTTTTTACAAGGCACAAAAGTCAGGGAAATCAAAGTTACGGCGCCCGCAGCTGCAGTAACTCAGCCACGGCGCGCATATAGATGAAGGCATTAAAGCGAGCGGCACAGCCAGGACCTGCGAGGGCTCGGGGAGGCGGCTGCGGGAGCGGCATTCCCGACTGCCCGCGGAGCCGGCGCCCGCCACCACGTTCTTGGCATTTACTTTTCGAGCGAATTGGTTTCGAAGGCTGGTGAAAGCGCTCAGGGAGATCAGGGTCACCTAGCACAAGCCGCGCCCCCAGGCTCTGGGGCAGGCTGGAAAAGGGGATCCCCTCCCAGAGTTGGGGTATCCAAGAGGGAACAGCTGCCGGCAGCCATGCTAGTGCAAGGGAGGGGCTGTCAGGCCCAGGTTTCCTCTGGAGAAGCAGCCATGAGTTGGGTCTGTTGAGTGGGTGTCCCCAGTGGAAAATGGACAGGAGTAGGGTTAGATGGCGCTCTCCTCTCTGGGTCAGCGCTGACCCCAGTGTCCCAGCCTGGCACTAGGGGGCGCTGTGCTGCGGGGAGCAGGGTGGATGGCTCACTAGGGGACACCTGCATCAACATGGACTCAAAGGGGAGAGCGCCCCCCACTGCGTGTCACCCTCGCTGCTCCCTGCCAGTCTCCCGTCACAGAACCAACCCAGAGTCACCCTGGTGAGCCACTTTGCAAGAACCCAACAAGAGAGAGAGCAGAGCGCCTAGTCCAAAGCCGGGCCCAGCCGTGCTGCAGGGAGAGGGGCCGGGGGAGCCCTGCAGGAGACGGGCCAGGGGAACAGGCGGCCCCTTACTCAGGACGGTGAGCTTGGCCCGCCGGGAGCGCAGCGCTGCTTCTGTGGCCTGGCACTCGTACAAGGCGTCATCCGAGAGCTCGGCGTCGGTGATCTCCAGGTTGTATTGTCCGGAGTCTGCCGTGCCGATGATCCGGTAGCGCGGCCAGGCTGCAGGAAGAGACAGGACAGACAGTGAGGCGACGGGACGCTGGAGTGGCACCAGGGTATGCGCAGACTGAAGGGACACGGCACCGCTAGGAGGCACTAGAGACGGGTCAAGGGACGATCCCCTGGGATCCCAAACCCCTTTACAGATGTGAACGATGACATACGAGCTACGTCAGGAATGGCTGCAGCCACCTCTGGGGTGGAGCATGACAGCTGTTTAACAGCCACTCAGCAACACTGCACAGGGATTGCTCACCCAGTGCCGAAATGCAGCCATCTCGGAGGTGGTGCGTGGCAGCTGTTTAACCGCCACATAGCAACGCTACATGGGAATCATTCACCAAGCACTAAAATGCAACTGTATCTGGGGTGAGGCACGCCAGTGGTTTAATAGCAACGCTGCACAACAGTATAGGACAGCAAGGGAGGAACTGAAACCACAGTGGGAGCTAGAATGTTACTGACAGAGTTGGAATGGGGCCAGGAGAACAAGGTTATAAAGGTGCTGTGGGATCTTAAACGAGCATGAGTGGTTGAGACCACAGTTTTCCATTTCATCTGAAAGACACAGGAGTATAAGAAATGCTGGGGCAGACCAGGGGCCCATCTAGCCTGGTATCTTGTTTCCAACTGCTGCTTCAGAGGGAAATGTAAGAGCCCCCATAACGGGAGGCAGTGTGGCTTAGTGGCTAGCGTCCTGGATGGGGACTCAGGAGATCTGTGTTCTGGTCCCAGTTCTGCCATTAGTCTGCTGTGTAACCTTGGACAAGTCACTTCCCTTCTTTATGCCTCAGTTTCCCCATCTGTACAATGGGGATAATAACACTGAGCTCCTTTGTAAAACACTTTGAGACCTACAGATAATAAGAGCTAGGGACTGTTATTAATTCTGGAATAACCTGCCCCAGGACAGGTTAATTTGTTCCTAATACCGGGTAGCCGGTGGCTTCTGGACAGCTTGTCTTCTTATCTGCAGAAACCCTGAATCCTGAGCGCGGGAGGGAGGAGGCGCGGAAGGGCAGGGCAGGAGGGAGGGATGAGCGAGGGAGGAAGGAGACGCGGAAGGGCAGGGCAGGAGGGAGGGATGAGCGCGGGAGGGAGGAGGCGTGGAAGGGCGGGGCAGGAGGGAGGGATGAGCGCGGGAGGGAGGAGACGCGGAAGGGCAGGGCAGGAGGGAGGGATGAGCACGGGAGGGAGGAGACGTGGGGCAGCGAAGGAACAAAACCTGGATATGCCCAGAGGGGAAAGGAGTGGGCTGCCAGAAATTGGCATTGGGAGGCGGGATGCCAGCGGGCTTGGGAATCGCCAGAGCTGGCACCTGAATCTGTCGGAGTTATCCTGGGTGTTCCCCATACAGTGACAAGGTCCTGTTAACACCTTGGACTCTCAGGGCCCATTTATTCCATTGACATTAACATCAGGAGAGCCAGGAATCGGGCCTGCCCGGGCTCCCCCGGCCCAGCCTGCAGAGAGAAGGGCAGTGGGTGGATCCGTCGTGCCCCCCTGATTTGCTGCTCGTGCCTTGTGACTCCAGCCCCATCGCCGCCGAGAAGGCTACGCCCCAGCGGTGCAGGGCAACAGGGAAGCAATGGATCAGCCCGACTCGACCCGCAGGTTGGGCGCCTCCCCTCCCTGCCCCGGCCGGAGCGTCAGTACCTTTCAGCCCCTGCCCCATGCCCAGTGCCAGGCCATCTTTGGTCCATTGCACGATCCCGGAGTAGTTCAGCACCACGCAGGACAGGACGAGCCTCTGCCCGGCCACCACGGTCTGATCCTCCGGCTCCTCGCTGAACCGGGTCTGGACAACTGGGAAGGGAGAGAGGATGAGCGTTAGTGCCCTGGGGAGGGAGGGACCCCGCACGGCACTGAGCACTGGGACCAGTAATGTTGGGGGGGACTGGGGAATCGGAGGGGAGAGCGCCTCCTACTGAGCCCCCACCCACAGCTCCCTGCAGCACAGCGCCCCCTAGCACCGCACGGGGGTCAGCACAGAGCCAGAGGGGAGAGCGCCCCCTACTGAGC